AATAATGTTTTTTCATTCTTAAGGTATTTCTAAATCATTTCTGTTATTAAAAAAAAAAACCCTCCAACTTAGGCTTTGTAAGATTTTTAGAAAATGATACAGACAGATATAAAATTGATCCAATGTTTCCAGTCTTGGCTATTTAGATACATACATTCACATAGCAATACACATATATCCACACACATAGTAACATACATATATGCACATATAGATTTTAAACTAAATACAATGCTTTCATAATAAGTTACCTTTCTGTGTCTCAAAAAATACAGCCTGTCACTCACTGTGCATTTCCTTATTTAATACTCTTCTGAGATGGCTTTTTTGCAATAACCCTATTGCCACTATTTAGATAAGGATACATGAATTTCATACTTTCATTTTAAATTCAAGTTCACCCATCACACATAATGCCTTTGAAGAAATCTCAAATTACTGTTATTACCTGGGTCACTACAAACCAGAGGCACTAATATAAATTTTAAAAAGAGAGACAAAAGGAGAAAAACCCCTCGTGCAATTAGATCCTGACTAACAGTTGGTTTAATCAATTTGATTTTTATCCTGAAATCCATTGCTTCCTCTTGAGCTGTCAGCGAGCGAGATAAGAGCCAGTGGTGTAGACAGGCTGTCTTTTACCAGCCGAGATGACAGCCACATGGATTACTAAAGCATTGCAGGGGATAGAGAGCGACGCGGCCGCGGCACCCTCATCCAGTGCGCAATCTTTCTATTTCATTAATTTTTCATGGAATTTCATTTCACAACAAGCTGGCGTCTGCCATCCATCTGTTCCACTTACTACGTCCCCTTTGCCAACTTTTTATTTGCATTTCACAACATTCTCAGGCTGCTCCGCTACCCAGCACCTTGCTGGGTATATACTTTTGTGGATCTGCCTCCTGGGGGTGCTTCCAAAATTCACTCCCAGTCCCCTAAAGATCTATACACCCAAGCACCCTGGATCAAGAGCTCAATTTCAAGACAACTTTTTTGTTGTCTAATGATCCAAATATGACACATTATGTATCAATGCTCAACTCAACTGACCAGTCAAATTAGTACTTGTATGCCATTTAGATACTTCCCCAAAGTCCTTTTCTAGTTGATGGAAGATGTATTGATACACCTCACTATAAACTGTGTCCTTCAGTTTACCTTGAATGGGTATCGGTTCCCAATCTGTTTCCAAATAGGTCTATGTTAAAAAGAGATTTTTGTTTTAAATGTTCAGCAACTTGTATTTTGTACATTGTATATAATAATGGGTTATGTATTTAAATAGCTTTTGAAAAATTAATTTCAGATCAATGTATAGCTTTTTTTGGGGGGGGGGAGGGGAATACCCTAACAATAACAACAAAAAGAAAAACATGCACAACACAGAAAACGTGCCATTTCAATAAATGAGAATGCCAAGGTGGATTCATGAGATTCTTCAAACATATTATCTTGCTAGTCTAAGGTTGGGGATTACATTTTACCTGATTTATTTTTATGAACTACACTGAATTTTTGGAGTTCTTCCTCTTAGACTATCTGAATGATCTGCTGCTAACCAACAACAGCAACAACAACAACAACGAAAAAACTTGAATCTTAACCTTTATTTTTTTGAGGTTAAAATGAATGCTTTTTTGCAATGTTTACACATTGTTATTTTTCTATTGCAAGCAGAATTATTATTTATAAAGCACAGAATAAATGAAATTGTTGATAGTCAAACTATATAATTCTTCACGAATTATGAAATAAAGTGCAATCTTTTAGCTCTCTCCATGTACTATTGAAAGCAATACTCTGGTGGTTGCCGATGTCAGGTGATGGTCTCTGTTAACCGTTGTTTTCCAAAAGTCTCTAAGTGACATTGACAGAAAATAAACTACAACATTCCACACATCAAAGGGCTCAGGCCCTACTTCCCATGTGTGAAAATGAGATGCTATGCCTGTCCTTCTCAGTGTACTTTTGTTTTGCTTGTCTATGTCTTGTATAAAAGTAAGATATTCACATTTCCCATTTGTCTAGACAGTGTAAACCACTTATATATGAATTCTAAAGAAAACCCTAACTCACGGCTCCACGTAGGGAGACCATGCAAAGGTGAATGGCCTGAGGTCTCAGTAAAAGAAGAAAAGTGAGATCGTGGGTGGAGAGATCTATTCCAAGAATCTTCTTTAAAGTTTATCTGGCAGAGAAAAGTGGGCTTCTGCTATGTGACCCCAGGAGTCATGTTCTGTCACTAAGTTTTTCTTCTGCTTTGAGATCTTTAAATATATGTAGTTCTTCCTGACAGAAACCTACCCTATGAGAGAAGTGACCCCACTTCCAAGATGATGCATTGCATTTACTAATAATCATGTCCTATCATTACCTCAGTTAAGCTGCAGCTAGAATGTCTCTGTTTAAAGCATAGACTGTTGGATCATAAATAACACATCACACCAAAGACACCTTTCAAGTCTACACAAAAAATAAATAAATAAATAAATAAATAAATAAATAAATAAATAAAAAGCCTTTCGCACTGACCAACTAATGCTATGATTCACTTTTAAAAAAATGAAGTCTGATAGATGGGTTAGAAACATACATGCACGGATACATTTTTCACAATTATATTTATTAACTTGTGAGGGTAGTTTAATCTATGATTATAATTAGCATCTGCACTTATTACTCAATAACCTTCCTATAATTCTTTAATATTCTCCCATGCATATATCCTCTTTCATGTTGGATAGGCTTAAAAGATGTAGCTATGCTATTCCATCTTGGTAAAGATATATGATTATTAAGATAGAATTTAAAGACATCATTGTTCTTTATGGAGTAAAAGAAATGTGACTTTGTCATACAAGGTGTTCCGTATAAACTTATCATTTTCTGGGAGGTGCAAAAAAATTATTCTCTCTTGTAGCTGGGTATGCTAGCCTTTTTTAAATTATGTATATTTACGTTGTTAACTTTTCCAGTAAAAGTGAATGTCTAACACCTTCATTTGACTGTCCTTCTACAATAGCAGTTGGCAGGTACCACAGAAAAGGCCACTTAAACACAGGTCTGCACACAATAGAGACTGGTATGTGATTACCTATTGCCTTTGTTATGAAAATTTGGAGGCTTACTATGATCAAATATTTGCTGTTAAATTTTTACTTTGGGCTACCCTAGTATAGTTCATACTAAACTAAACTATGAAAACTTTCTTGAGTTTCTCTTTATTTCCTTCCAGAATTTTTTTTTCTTTAAGTTAGTATGCCTGACACTTCGTGCTAAACCAAATGAAGGAAGATGAGGATTTCTTTTAGGTTACACTTCTACAGATTGTGATACTGCAAATACTGCTCCATTTGCTTTTCTTCTAAACAGCTAAGCAAACTGTAAAAAATCAGGAGACATGAACACCTGGAGCGTAAAGACATTTTTTTTTTTAACTTAGAAAAGTGATAGTCATTGTTGAACTGTTGAAAGCGGTGGTTTTCTTAATATCCATGTCATTTTTCAGTAGCACATAGGCATAGAAGAGATCAGGGAAGTAAGCCAGTTTCAAAATATTTTCAGATAATGAAGTGAACATCAAGCATTCAATTGAGCTGTTTAAAAATTGAAGTACAATTATGAAACCATCCCGTTTGACGCTATAGACTCTGAAACATTCAGAGGCGGGTGTCCAATCTCCGTTAGTCTCAGGAGTCCTGATGGGTGATCACCGTCAAGGACTGTTTGCTTCGGACCTTTATGTTTGGTTACTTTATGTTATTAGAAATTATATGGGACTCAGGGACGGTTGGCAAGCACTTAGGAAACAATCTAGAGGAAAGTTATCTTAGGCTCCCTAAGATATCTACTCTAGATAGAAATTCTAGAAGCGCTAGTACCCTGTCTCACAATGTATCCTGCATGAAAACAATTTTTAAAAATCCAACTCACTTAAATTGTGTCTGCTCCATACACCTCTGTGAGCACTTTAAAGACTAAAAGAAAAGCAAAACACCTTTCAGGTACTGGTGGGAACACTGAACTTCCACCAACTCACAAGGAGCTAGGATCAATGCAAGTTTCTCTCTGAGAAAGAAGGAATAGCGTTGGAATCATCTTAATCTGTCTGTGGAATGCACACAGGCTAAAGATGCATTCTACAGCTCTGCCTACCACGTTGGAGAAATTGTTAATTTGACACAAACCCTTGTGTGAAAGCCCCGCGCTGGTGGTGACATTGACTAAGTTCTGTGAAGCCCTTTCCCAGAAATTTCAATAACGAGGCACAGCCCGAGTTTGTCAGCTGCAACCTACGATCCAGTTGCCTCTCCTTTTCTGGTTTGCAAAATTTAATTTTCTTCCTTTCTGTTTTTCTTTCTTTTTTTCCCCCCCTACCAAGAAGACAGTGTTTATTTCTTTACAGGCAGTAATTTCTGCAAGGACATGCCTTGTCCTCTTTGTCTGTGCTAGTGTTTACACGACCACGGGATATGTCACTCACTAAGGGGGAAAAAAGCCAGTTTGGGAAGGCGATTGTCAGGGTTTTGCCCTCTTTTTCCTCTGAGACAATTTGGATGGGAGGAGCTGGGGAGAGAGCTCATCCCCTCATTTTTATGTGTGTTGGCTTAAGTGAGTGTTTCTTTTGGCACCCTGTGATACTGTGGGCTCCAAGTGTGTCTAAGTGCCAGCCTCCAGTCTCCAGTAGGGACGGTGGTACCCAGCATCAGAGGATGGATGCTCCTCTGCTCAGCCCTCCAAGCTCGCTTCTCAGTGTTTTACGCTGAGCGGCTAGCTGGCTCTGTGTACCGTCCTGGCTTGAGGAAAGTCCTCTGGCTATTTACAAAGAGGTTTGAACTCACAAGTGCCCTACTCAGTGTGGACATTCCAGAAGCATCCTAAAGTGAAGATGACAAGCGGAAACAGACAAGCGGCCACCAAGATCTTAGGAAGGACGAGGGGAGAGACAGGCGAGAGTTGCAGCAGGCACGCGTGCGCTCGCATAGCGAGCTTCTTACCTTTCCTCTTGGACCTCCTCCTCCTTCTCCTCTTGGACTTGCATTTGAGTTGACTGCTCAGCCCTCCAGACCCTCTGCCGCTCCCCAGGACAGATGCCATGCCAGTCGGGAGACCCAGGGAGAAGCCGGTCCTTAAACAATTTCACCTTTTTTATTCTTGATGCTGCAGCCGCGGAGGCAGTATTTCTGGTTTTGCAAATCAAGTAGCAGGCTCACTTTTTAGGACTGGGTTTGGCAGCAAGCACCTTCTCTCTAATTGCCCCGTCTCTTGGTTCCTGATGAGCCAAAAACGCCTTGTGTGCACGCCTGGAAGCTGAGCCCTTTCTTAGGCAGAAAGCTCCGGGAAAGATTCTCCCGCGCGTCCTGAGCGCCCTGGAGCTCCCTCCTCCTCGTCTGGGCTCCCAAAGCAGGGTTGCTACTTTTGCGCCTCTGCGAGTTGTTTGGCACCGTCCACTTTAAAGCCAATCACGCAGGGAGCTCCTCTATTTGCTGCCGCAAAGTCTAATTAGATCCAATCACAACTGTCTTCTGGCTCTGACATCAGCAGCACCAGCTCCACCGCCTCTGGTAGCTTGCAAACTCAGCTCCCATTTGGATGGATGGAGCCGCCCAGGACCGGCTGGAAGAAGAGAGTCATCAGCGGGAGCCACAACCACCCTGAACTGGTTTCACTGGGATAAGTCCAACCTTGCAGTTTCCAGGAGAGTGACTATCCTGGGATGGCATGGCTTCTTGCTGATAAATGCACTTGATAAACGCAGGGACTCGTTTCTCAAACCCAGCAGTTTTTAACTAGTTAACTTACTAAGATGCTCAGTGTCTGGAGCTGGAAAGATCTCTCCCTGTTCAGGACCTTACTTCAGAAATGCTCTGAGATTTCTAACTGCCAAAGAGACAAGCTCTTTGGGAGTTGTTTATTCAGAGACTGTGTATCTATCTGCTTGCATGTTTGTTCTGGTGGAATCTCACTCCATCTCCTTTTCATATCCCTAGGCTGTTCCTTTAGAAAAAGGAAAATGCGTAAAAACGGATGTTAGGATTTCATCTGAATTTTATAGAAAGGGAATCCCCATACTGTTTTATTCACTGAGAGAAGAGCAATTACAGGAGAAACAGATTAGGAGACAGAAGAGGAGAGGAGGGCAGGGAGGGGAGCAAAGTGGAGGGGAGCAAAGTGGAGGGGAGAGGAGTGAGTGAAAAAGGAGCGAGGGAAAGAAGAGAGATATGGCAATTGTAATATTTACATAGGGAATGTAATGTTCAGGAAGAAGTGGACTACAATTTAAAATGACTCTATTTTTAGGAATATGTTAGGTTTCAATAATTGATTTCCACAACATAGAACTCTGACATATAAGAAGAAATATAATCCAGAAATCATCCTGGCATCTTGTATTTAAATAATAAATTATTAATCATCATAAAGTTGGTTTGATAAACATTCACTCTAAAAGTCAGTAGGATGAGTTAACAGGAGGATATGAAAATTATTTTCTGTTCTGTTGTTTACTGATTTTCACACTTCCTTTTACAAGATCCTTATGGGCCTTGGAATTTCTATATTATTTCTCTTATATAAGAAATAATTCTCTCAGGGAACAATGGGAGTAATTAGGATGTCCATGGATTGCTGCTCTAGACAGCCAAAAGATCCTCACCCAGCATTCACTGAAGACATACAGAGAGAGCTGATTTCAAATCCTACTTCAATGCTTTGATTCACACTCATTTCCCTAAGCTGTGCCTTAGTTTCCTCACTTGTGAAACCACAGGTTAGCAATCATAGCCCCTTCATGGGGCATATACTTTTCAATCTCTATGGAAAACAACTAGCAGACAACAATTAGTCCTTGGTTATTAATTTTATCCATGTATATTTTCAAGAGAATCTGACAGGTAGGCTTTTGAAATAGAGAACTTGTGTTTTTCTTCTCTTTAGACTAAGTGACCTCCTGGCGAAGATTTATTTCAAAGGGATGGATATAGTCAAAGTGGCCTTTCTAGTTTGGGTTGGGTTCAACAATTTCCTCCTAGCAGCATCACGGCTTAGTGAGACTGATGATTTCTTCTGAGTGCTGAGAAAGCACATGACGTTCTCAATTAACCTACACGTAAGAGGTTGACAATTTGTGGAAGTTTGGTGAAGTGAAAATTCCAATAATATATAGACTTCGTGGTGTATTTTGAGTAGAGCAGACACTGTGATGAATTATGATACATCAGATAACAAAACAATATAAAACAAACAAGCAAATGGAAAACAAACCACTTCTGCTCTAGGCTCAGAGACTATTCAGTGATGAACTAAACAAACACATCATGAAGTCAACACTGAAGAAACAAGCACATTCCTCACACAGATTAGCTGGAGTAATGCAGAGCTTATATGATCAAAGGTGAAAAAAACTCATGGAGTGTAACTGAGAAGACTGAAGGTGATCTTCGTTATAGAAATTCCTTCCATGGCCCAGTCATGTCACATGGGTCTGAGGACAGAAGTCAGAAATAGTGTTACGATCCCCCATCCCAAACCTTGCAGAGTTGAGAGTTTCAACTGTTCTCAGAAGTACAGCTGTACAACCTTACCTGGGAAACTTCTCTACTCCATACAGAATGTGTGATCTCTTCCAAGATTGCCCTACTTATGTGCCAAAAGAAAAACTCTCACCAAGTTGATCCATCTATGGAAGGCCTTTCAGAAAAGCTACATACAAATGGCTCATTAACACTGGATTATAGGAACTTATAAATGACCCTCTCATAAGCCCATAACTATACCACCATGACACCTAGAAGACTCATACATACTGACTCTTTCTTTACTAGGACAGCAAGTAAGGGAAGCATAAAACATAATCTTGAATACATGTATGTACATATGTATTTGCATATGTATATAGATACGTATATACTAGATTTTGATAAGATGGAATTTCATGACTAAAATCTGAATGTGAACAGTTAAAATCTTGACTTAAAATCAATTATGGCAAATCTTGACTCTTCTTGAAGTTTCTCAGTTTGTTTATTTAGTGCATAATGTGTGTCATATCACTATACAGAGATATTGCTGCTTTATATTTTGTTGATTTTGTGTGTAATAATGCATCATCATCATCATCGATGCTATACTCAGTCCTCTGGTGAGGAAACAATAAAAAAAATGGGTATCTCCATCCTAGAAGTGGAAGTGGCTTGGGGTGGCAAATATTTATGCTCAAGCGTGGTCTCTAATATGTTTCAATTTGTTATTGCCAGCAAGGCTTAAAGTGAGCAGTGCTGACAGTCTGCCACGCTTCTGATGAGTCCTTTCGCTTTTTGTCTTTTTCCTGGATCACTTGAGCGTAGCTTGGCAGCCTGAGATGATGAAGAGCAGCTGGAAGAGGCTTTGAGATCAGGAGCCAGTCTCAATCCATTGCCCGTCACTGATGTGTCCTATGCTAATCCTATTTAGTTGCTCTTCTTTGCACAGAGCAGAGAACTAGCAATGGAGCTTCCAAAGAGGGACTGGTCTGGTCAAAAAGCCAACTAGAGCTCCACAGCTCAGCATGTACGTATTAGCTGTAGAGGTAGGTGAAGAACAGAAAGGTTTGGGGACTATGCTGCCTCTGTTGTTTGAGGACAAGTCTTTCTCCAGTTTCAATTACTTGTAACATTCTGTGGTTCTCACCATCCCTTTATAAAGTAATGCATAAGGTACTGTAATAATCAAACTACTTTTCAAGATCAATTTGTTTCTTTAATGTTTATCTCCTAAGAGCTAAAATCATGTCCCCAACTCACCACTGCAAAACTCTAAGTCCAGAGAAAAATTTTTACATGATGCATCATAATTTTCAAACAACAGATAAAGTTTAAATATTATTGTGACTCTCACTAAGTTCAAGCAACACATATTTCAAAGCAGAACTGAAACAAAGCTCATTTTATGGATGTCTTATTATTATTGGCTGTGACTCCAAATATTACAAAAAGCAGCAGCCAAAAGGTCCCTGGCTTATGATTCTTACTCTCACATATCCAGATATCACTTGTCTTTGATCAGAATAAAAGTCTAGTACGGAGAAGGAAGCCATCAAAGATGTTGAGAGAGCCAAGATTTGCATCAGCTATTCCAACATCATCCAAAAGGAACACATGTCAGTGTTCTATCTCTCACAAGTGACATGACTGAATTTCTGCCAGAAATAGAATCGAGGAACATGCATGATGAGACACAACTACACAGATGACGAATTTGAGAACAAGTTCAAGTCTTCTTATTCCCAGTATTAAGGGTTTTCCTTTGGACTCCTATGTTAGTATGTAACCACACACACTTATTCTGGATTCTTAATGCTTAACATAAATTCATAAGGGCTTTGACCCTTTATTTTTATTAGCACATATGAATTGAACAAAATGAAAACTTCATTATGACATTACTGAGTGTGTATATAAATTTGTACGTGTATATAGGTGATGTACTGTGATCATAGCACATCCTGTATTACTTTCATTTCTTGGTCCACAATTTGTCTTCCCTTTTTCACATCACAAATAGACCTCTCTTTCATGTTTCCATACATGAGAGCAAAAGTATGATATTTCTCTTATGGGTCTGACTTCTTTCATAGAACATGGTCATCTCCAATTCTACCAGTTTTCTTAAAAATAAAATAATTTTGTGATGGGTAAAACCATCTATCTATTGTCAATTTATCAACCATTTCTCATCTATCTATCTATCTATCTATCTATCTATCTATCTATCTATCTATC